ACTCACAATCAATGTAATTTACCTGGCACCGAGTGACACAGTTGGTGTGACGTTATGCTTACATTGCTTTCTCTGAAAGTTTAACATGTTTTTTTCTATAACCTTTCTTGTCGAAAATCAACCCTTTTCCGGAATCCTTTTACTGCAGAACACTTAGTCAATTTACTTTGCATGTATGTACAGTAGACCTCATCAGGAGCACCAGTGTTGCCATCATCTGCACTCGGACGATGCAGATTCCGTGTAGCATAAAAACACAGAAATATGCCGTTTAGGAATTTATTTGCGAAACAAAATGCAATCAAATAACGATTGTCGTATAGTAGATTTAATGTTTGCATTGCACATGTCAAAATACCTATAAAATCAATGCACAAAAGTAGAATGTACATTGGCAAGAGCAAGGTGGACACCGGTAGTCTGAAAATATGAAAAGAAACCGTGTCGACAAGAGCAACGCAATTCGCCCCAACGTATTTGATTTGACTTACGAAGGTTTGCATAGGCACCCAAGCATGGTGAACGTCCTTGTGAGATCACTTCTTTGTTGGCAGGTATTTTTGGCGCAGCCGAATTTATTGGTCCGTCGCCCAAGCTTAGTAAGACACAGAAGAAGCACAGATTGATAAAAGGTTGTATAAGATATTTTTATTGTTTGCATTCAAACAGACCATAAATATGCAAGTTAACGACTACTGGCATCAAATGCAGACAAGTGAAATAAGCTGACCAATGGCATCATACTCGAACACCAGACAAAACGACTTGTGTGAGCGAAAGGGAATAGCCTACTCACCTGTTTATTCTGGTCGCAGTCGCCCCTGCCGGTGTTCTTATCAAAATCGTAGTAGACCTCGCCTAATTTGCACACTTTCGCAGCAAATTGTGGTTTGTCTGCCTCTGTGGAGGATACAATGTAATCGACATCCCTGTACTGTGGATTCCTGTCAGCATTAGGAAATGTGCCCGGACAGCTGGCGAGAAATTCATCCGTCAATTTCTGCATTTCAGATGAATAGCTCTAAGTAGACTGAAATTGAGGATACAAAACAAACTTGTGTCAGTTAACTAGCAAATACGTGGTGATAATTAACCAGCAATCAAGTCAGCTTAGAATGAGGCAAGTGCTATTTTCATTTCGTCCACCCATAACAACCAGCACTGTGAAGCACAAGTAATCGTACTAGAAATCTGCTCCTGCAATATGATGAAAGGCCTTTGGCAAGAACACACACACCACCGGTCTAAATAGGCGTCTTGCAACCATAGTCTATCGACATTCAACACGGTTTTGCAAAATCTGCGCACGAACGCACCATCAACTGCATGTTGTTTGCGGTTGGCTGAACTTCCTCACGCAGCCTCTTGTGACATTCCACGATTTGTTTGTGCTCTTCGTCCGAAGGAACCTCTGCCACGACGAACCAATTTAACGCCAGGATCGAGACAAATGTCGCCATAGCGTTCTACAAGGCACAAAACAAGGTAATGAGATTAACACTGATGCTTAAAAATGCGATGGCAAGACAAGATGTTAATGATTACCGGTTGAAAAAGGAAGAAAAGGCTTCCTGATCACTGGTTTTATAGGGGATGCAGCATGGGATCCCACCCACTCAGTCACCAACCGTCAGCCATTACCAGGCAACCCTGAAATGATTGCTGTAAATTGTTGCTGTGGAGGTTGACGGGGAGCTCGCTGTGTGAGTACACATGTGAGCACATGATCCCCTGAAAACTTCCTGATTTCCATGGATTAACCAGACTTCTATTTACATGTCTTCAGTCCTAATCACCAAATGGGTGCATTTAGCAACCTTAATTCATTCTGCTAGCATTTAGAGCCTTAGTCGAGTCAATGCACGATGCATTTTTATGGCCACTAGCCAGCCGATGGGTATAATCACAACTAAATATTAAACATTTCTATAAATCAAAAACCGGTTGCCTTAAAATAAGGATAATGGACACCCAGATTAAAAAAAAAAGAATATAACACAAGTACTGTTAGCACAACATGCAATTAACTCTCTCAAAGGAGATGAAACTGGCATTTTTCCGTCATCTAATGTGGTCAGGCGGTGTGAACCGTTTATCATCTGTCGTATAATAGCAAAGCAAATCAAAACGATGATGGGGGAAGGATCACAACGTCTAGACCAGAGACGCCATCATTTGCAACAAGGCATCAGCACGAAACGAAATTAAATCTTCGTTGTGTAAGATTCCAACTGTAAAACGCAGCACAAGTGATTGCCTAGAAAAAGGTTTGACCAAACACAAGATGTCTGAGTTGATCCAAATCGAATTGCCTCAGTTGCAACAACTCCTGTCTATGTTTAGGCGAAAGTGATTTTTCTTAGATGTGCAACAAATTGATTGACTTTTTCTCTGTGCACTGATGAAATACCCTTCGTGTCTCATGGTGTCTAAAATTAGCGCCTTCAGATTTTGCCTCAGGCATGTGATTAATGGTTTTAAAAGGATCTGCCTATCGTCGATTATATGAAGACCACAACACTAATAATAATAATAATAATGCATTCCGAGCTAAATCAATTATCGACACACCCACCCAACCCGATTAGTCAGTTAGTTAATTTTTTACTATCGATCGCAATTGATAGCATTATTATTTAAATGTATAAGACAGGTCTTGTGTCAGTTAGAGTGATAAATCATCATTACGATCATTGTGATGATGATTATCATCACTATCACGATTATGACAGACACGATTACATTGATCACCACCACCATCATCATCATCACTATCAGTGCCACGGTAGCACTATCACGATTGTCAGTATTACTATCATCATCAATACCATTGTTATTACGAATATCATTATCATCATCACCATCATCATCATCATGATCGACATTGTCATCACCATTGGAAGTTTGTGGAACTTTTATAAGAAACAAGTTGTGTGAAATTGTTAATAGGCGCACGCCCTTCCTCCGATGTTCCAATTTCACAAGTAAGGATAAATTTATTGGAAGAACCAAAGCCGCCTTATTTTAATCCCTGCAAGACACATGTGACACAAACCATCTCCTTGTCAATAAAATGTTGAAGGCAAATCCTCCTTGTTATGAGAACAGTTGGATTCATTCGCCTGATATCTTCGTCATTAAATGGGTCAGTTGATCAAGCCGAAATGCGCTCAAGGATTTGTCGTGTAGGACCAAAAACCAACAGTGAGAATGGCGAATAATGGCAAGGGCGTGTAGATGTTTAAAGTGGTAGCTTGATTAGCCTTCATTCTAAATGCGAAATAGATGTGCGAATTGGGTTTCAGACTTAGTAAATTAAAATAACAAGAAAATCATTTTCAGCCGCCTCTTCAAACATTCTTTCACATTTCAAAGCAGTTTTCTTCATGAGCAACATTCCATCTACCGGTGCGTTATTTTTTCCGCCAACATAATGTACGCGCTCTCCTCACATTGACCAGATGTACAAAAACACGCCTTTCATTCACAAAGCCTTGCACCTGTCTTCCCAATACAATTAAGGTATTTGTTGTGGTCAGTGACTGCTTTTAACTGTTTTGTGTTTAATCGTTTAATCAAAAATTTGGTCGTGTGCTATATCCCCCATTCGGAATGATATTCTCCTTAAGTAAGACGCTCAGTCACTTTCCAGCCCTGAATGGCTTTTAAATGCAACGAAATGTTTAAAAAGGGACAGGCATCCTATTTCCCGTCCAACATTTGAAGTGTGAACAATGAATAAGAATTTTCGGCTTTTGGAATTCTGAATAGATCAAATGATACTGGGAATACTTGTACCATCTTATAATGGAATTAAAAACTTGTCGTGTCCTCCGCGTACCTCATCAATAATGCCAATTTTTGAGAAAGATCCGCATTCAAGGTTATCTGTTTCAATATTTCTTAATCACGCAGCAGCTCCTTTTGTCGAGCCTTGGTAAATTTGACGTCTGCTAACGAAGAAAGTAGGTGTGCAACTTCATGCAAACCTATTTGACGAGTTTGATAGATCCTCAATATAAATGGCATGACTGTCATGGATGGTGCTTAAAAGACGCGATCCGTTTGGTTTGAAGTCAAACAGATGCCCCCCGGAATACCTCTTCACACGTTAAACTGATGTTCTATCAATGCTCATGATGAGTACAGGTTAAAATCTGCAAATGAAATTGTACGACATCTGCTAACCACGCCAAACAGGATACACTCAGAGGAGAAATCGAACAAAGAAATACATCATGAGCAGTTCTATGTATAAATCTTAAGCGTTGATCATTGCTTAGTAGAGCCAGAACCTTAGTTTCACGCTGACACTCAATCACTCTCACTACCCCCTCATTCCACCTGGTTTCCATGTATTCTATATCTGTGCTAAAGAAGAGGCACTCAACGAGCTACCACAAATCCTACGCAAACAAACATGTCTCTTAGGTTACCTCCACGTATCGTCATCACTTCTGTTCTCCAGTTCTGTGCATGTCGAATCGATTGGGAGAGAATATTAGAAGTAAATATCTACAAGTGCGCGGGAAACAATAGAGAAACAGTTAAGCATTTACAGATTTCTCTACAAAACTAAGTAGAAGGGATTCACATGTTGATTGTCACATACAATTGACGCTGAGTGTGAATCAAGTATGCGATAACATGCAATGTGTGTTGACGATGATTACCTAGAATCCTCGGTGCGATTACATATTTACTACGCCTTACGCGCGCAAGCAGCAGCATAAAAATATTTTTTAAAGCTAGCAGTATTTAGAAATAGTTACTTAGCAACATAACTAAGCCATATATCGCATAAATATTTATAGTTTTAGTGAGCCGGATGGCGTTAGTCATTTGCAAGGCCTGATGCTATTTTAAAGGGGAAAGTTGATGAGATATTTTTGTACGCAATATGTACACGGGTTGTCCTTTCAGGGTTCATCGACAAATGCTGCCTGTTGTCGCCAGGTTAAAGGAATGTAAAGTAGCTCTTTTCATAGAAATGTATTTTCAAATTGGAGGTACAGTTTAAGACCAAGACCTCTATAAAGGCCCAGTGCGCATTTCTGGACTTTACATATTCCTTCCAAGCGACGAATTCTTGACTAAGATTAAAACAGATTGAATGACTAAGCGGATTTCCGTCTTCGCTAGTTTGTCTTTAGCAGTTTGCCTCCTCACGTTTGCTTGACTTTATTGATATGGTTTCTTTCTGACACACTTATGGTGCAGCTGCCTTGCATGATGCAAACGACGCGGTGAAATGCATTCTTAGGTAGAAAGTATTTCTTAAAAATGTACATGATAAATCCACTTCGCTGAATGAACCACCAAATAAGAATCGGAAAATATAACAAATATAATATTCACCATTCATTGGCTTATTAGCCGTGGCAACAAAACTAATATCCTCAACACCTTACCATCAGTTATATTCTTGATTTTCATACCAACAGGAAAGAAAGCAATTAGTCACAGTTTTTGCGAATGACTTGATGTACTGTGGTTCCAAATACGATGCGTTTATTCTGTTCAGAAACCAGATGTTAATGAGAACAGCAATGGCGAGAAATATTCCCGATTTAGCATGAACAAGGGGGCATGCGTTTGCTGTGTGCCCCAGCATGTGGTCTTGAACCACTCTGGGGCCACCGGGTCAACTGTGGATCGATTACGCTTCTCTGCTACCCCTCGATGAAGAAAAGTGACCGCAGAGAACGTGGTCACAACCGTTTAATTTGGAGCTTAACCACGTTGGTACAGTTGTGTCGTGTGTGACGCTTGCAAGTGTGTATTCATGCCACAGAGGTGTGCGTCATGAATGAGCTAACATCGAGACCGTGGATCCGTGCAGCTGGCGGATTAGTAAAGTGGTTCTTGCATCCTAATCACAGAAAAGTTTTCTTACGACTTACGAACAAGAATTTTCTAGTATATCGATGTGAATGTGGCCTCAATTTCATGCTTGCAAGGTTGGTTGATTTCGAAAATCTCAAACTTTTCTTGGTTTATAAAGTC